CGTTTGTGCATGTGACATCTTCTAAATGTCCTAAGCTATATAATTAAAGTGTTCCAATGGGCATCTTTCACTCAAAAAATTTATAATCTTACTTCAAGAATGATCTGCATTGGTATTTTTCTCATAGAGATGAGAGTGGCGGCAAAGTGCATTGAAAAGCTCGCTGTTTTTGGCTATCACTCATAGTCACTGGGTGCTTAGTGAAGATTCGATTTGGTTTCGAAATGTTGGTTTGGAATCATTAGTAATGCAGATGAGACATCTGAAGGCCTTTTAAGCGGTGAGTATGTTGCACAATAGTATGTTCCGCTGTACTAGATAGTTATGAAACAGTGATATCTAAGAGGAATACAACTTAAGGTCACAAAGCCCTTATCACTGTTTCCGTCAGAACACCACTCGTTTATGACTGAGCCACTAAATAAGCACAACGGATGTTAGGTTTGCAGTGAGCGAGATGTGTTGGTAAGATTTAAGATATTTGTAGTCCACTTCGGTTGCGATAGGCGTGATGCATACCCAGCTGTCACCTACTTCAAATTACCATGCTAGCTGTAGTATGGTGCAGTGAAACCAAGATGTCATAGTAATTAAAGTAGCTACTGCTTGTTGGTTTCAATTACCTGGAAAGATGTCTGAGATTGAATCTACAAGTTAGCCGATATCTGTGGTTAAAGAATGTAAACGATACAGGTGGAATCAGTCGAAATGAGAAAGATGCACTTACCTTTCATCTTCTTCCTAATATAGAGAGTCTTTCTATTTTGAATTTGATCTCCTCACTGAAACCCTTTTTCCGTTTGTTTACCTCTCATAATGTTTTACCGGTGCTTATGTCATTATTTTGCTTGCTTACTGTTCTTCATGTATAACTGTATATCATTCATTTGTTAGATTACAAGTTCATCCGGCTGATGAGGCTTAAATACAGTGAAAACTGTCATAGTGACTTCATATGCTATCACCTAGCAGTACTATAAAAATAGTTTATATATATATATATATATATATATATAATATATATATATATATATATATATATATATATATATATATATCACTGAAAGGCGTGCCGAGTAAACACATTATCTTATGGAAGGCTCTCTACTTAAACACTTCTGGGTAGGCTAAAGCCTATGGTGAGATGCTCAGGGAGCTATGCTCATCGAGTGGTGCCCGTCAAGGGTGCCCAATGCCTCCATCCTTATTCAATTTTAACGTAGACATTCTCATGGAGGTCTCCCTCTCGTCACCTGATTACATAGACGCTGAACTAATGTAAGGAGAAGTTTCGCTAGACCTAGAATATGCAGATGACATAGTCCTTTTAGGCGAAGACGCTGACAAATTCAGAGTCTTCTGAACACTGAGTGACAATTTGAGGGTGTTTGGGATGCTTTTCTCATCACCCAAATGTAGTATAGATGGTATTCCATGTTGTCATCACGTGAGTAACGCAGACGTCAAGTGTAGAGTTTTATGGAGAAGAGGTAAATCTGTTGATGAAGTTGTGAACCTCCATCGGCTGAGATGGTTGGTTAGTACATGTGCCACGTATGCGTAGTCGCCAACTGCCTCGTCATACAATCTTGGCCGAAGTAGATCCAGGCTGGATAAGGGCCCGAGGTGGCCAGACTAAAACATGGCATCAATGTATGAAGTCTCTGACTGTTGATTTGAGCCGTATGGGGCGATGTAGCCCAGTCGGTTGGGGTCCACGGGACAAGAGGAATCAGTGGCTGGAGACTCCAGGGGATATGGCTAAGAACCGATATCAGTGGAGCAGATGTATACATACTTTATTCGCATGTTAACGACGCTATACCGAATCTTGCCACTTTCTCATTCCTCATTTCTTTTGACTGAATTTTCTTATCTTCATCTTGGGTCTCATCGCCTTTTTACTTGGTGTACTGATATGAGGTGTGGCAGGAAGTTGGACTGTTACGCAGTAATGCCTGGTCCTATGTTGATATATATATAATTTCTCCCGGCTGTTAAACTTCGTTTTTCAACAGCTTATTGAAATGTGGTTTGCTTTAAACTCACTATTATAGAGAGACAATTAACTCTTATCTGTTGTTACATGTCAGATTATATTTTAAACATGATTACGCGTTATTAACTCATTCATTCACTTAGTTTCTGTTTTCACTTCTCTTCTAAACTGGTCTGGGTCTATCACAAATAATGTTTGATAGATGAATCCAATTTTTCTCTACCATTAGTCAGAAATCAATTAACCAATCACCTGTCATTCACATGCAGAACACGTGTGTTAAAGAAAGAAATTAAATTTCAGTGCATTTATAGAGTGTAAATGAATATTTTCTTTCTGGGAGAATGTATAGTTTATTTTCCTTCTGCAAGATTTCGTTTATATCTAGTATCTTTAATATTATCATGGATGGAAATCCAGTGGTGGTTATTGATTTCTAGCTATTTTCTTCATTCTGTAATCATTTATGCTTGCCAAATAAACCTCTATGTATTTTCAGTAGAGTCTCGTTTTTGGACATAATGAAATGAATTGCACTTAGGAGTGATTCTGCGAGGAATATGTATGCAGTAAATAATCAAATAAAAACTATCAATCACATATACTTCGACAAAACAATAAGAAGACGTAAATTATCTGAAGTTTGTAGCGTATTTGTGCAACACACTTCGAATTTTGAGGGGGTTGTGGAGATTTGGAAATATTTCAAGTTGTTATTCATCGAAGACTGACATCAGTTGGAGGAACAAAGGAAACCTGGGAGCACTGGACAGCTGTTTCGTCCCAGTATGGGACTCCTCAGCAGTGCGCACCCACGACCCCACCAGCAGGGACCGAACCCGCGACCTTCAGGTTCCGCAGCCAGCGCGTTACCATTGAGCCACTGGGTCAGTCTTCGATGAATAACACTTGAAACACTTCGAATTATCTGATTATACATATACTTATCATAGGTATTTTTATGGAAATTCATGAAGATAAGGGTTGACAAAATGAAATGAAGGTTAGGTAGGAAGGCTAAATTAAAAGCCGAATAAAAGTGGAAATCAATAGAGCGAAAATTATAATAAATCTAACTTGGTTTCATAGTTGAATTCACTAGGGAAGGTTTTAATGAGATAACAAATTGTTTTTAAACACACGAAGGTAGTTTAAACTTCCTAATAGCTAAGGCCTCAACAAACTTAAGGATCCGTCTCTAACGGATTTTGTAAATAAATCTGATGGAAATAGCCACATCAATCTTGTGACCAATTTCAACCACATGTATTGCAGTCGAAAAACTTGGATAACTGCTACCAACATCTATGGGTTCATGTGATTCGACATGCTTCTGAAGCAAATTTAGAATATGCTCCAAGGCCTTTACTTGCATGAATCTATAAGTCCTATCTATGTATGTCATCACACGTACATTGAATTGCTAAATGCATTAGGATGTGACATTGTCGTTTACATGCTGTAATGGTTTGAGAGAATAAACAAGCTGGGTCGTCTCTATTAATCGGACCCTAGTTACTTAGTAAGTCCTTCTAACAGCGGCGTTAAGTCTCTGCTTAAGGCTTGCTCTTTGAGAGTCACCTATGTACAGCAGACTAATGAAGACATCTTTCTTTGAGACAAAGTGAAGACCTAGTTTTGGCGCTCTGGTTATTTTATGCTACGTAATAAATGTGACGGATAATTATTTTAACAACAGTATTTCTGTCAATGTTCCTTTTTCGTCTTTCAAAGTATCATCTGTGGATATTCATTGAATAATCACCTAACTAACGCTCGCTTGTACTGATAGGTTTGCAGATTCGAAAATGAACCACGCGTATTATATCACGACTAATACTTGTTAGGGATGGCCAATCTCTAAGATAACCATGTTTATATTATTATTGTGAAGTTTAAACCATTAGTATGTGACAGCATTATATAGCCACTTCACCATACAATGGGGATATTGAGTAGTGGAAACCTATAAATCCATGAGAAATCAGCCTTAAAACAGTCACGTCTCTCAGCAAGAACTTTACCATCCAACTACCGTGTTGGAATTCAATAGTCCTCAATCTCCCACTTTTGAAGTTTCTGAAATTCTGATGAGGAGTGGTCTGTGTAGAGTTAGCCAGTTTGTTGGTAGGATACACACTTGACAGTAGCACTGGATAATGGTTGTGTTATATCACGAAATGAAAGTTGAATGAATATGAATGTGCTTACCTCTAAACCCGACGGCCCTGGGCCCTATCTGTGTCAAGGGTGTAATTGCGCACTAATGAGGAGTCCTAGAACAGGATGAATCGGTTGTTCAATGGCTTCCCGACTGATTTCGGCTTATGATGAAAACTGCTTTAAAGTAAAATATGTCGCTAATCAAATCTGACAATTTTATATCATCTATGGAGAACTAGCTGAACCAGAGTGGGCAAAATACAGACCATTCACTTTGTTTGTATTTGGAATCTGTGTAGCGTTTTTCATACAGGCTTTCAAGGAGAACAAGTGACTTATCTCAGTTGCCCCTGTTCAAGTCACTCATTTTTGTGACTGAGTACTTAAATCTTACTCCTTTATTTCTTCTATACTACCACGTAGATGAATGCTGTATCAAAATAAGAAAGTCTGTGTATTAGATTTAGTAGAACGCTGTTTTACTCTTATAATTTTGTGTATAATGAAAGAACAACTTTGGTTGATATACGTGGCTTCCAACTACCCAAGTCAATCTGTAGTGCGTATCCTTTATCTTGATGCCAATCCTGGTAATTAACAAATCAAATTTTCCGATCTAACCATTATTTCTTATACCACAGTAGAGTCTTAAATTTAGGCTGCACCTAGATGTCAGATTCTCATCACTGTGTCACAATCTCATCGAGATTTGCTTAAAAAGAGGAATTTGCTAAGCATTCTGTATACGTTCATTTAAATGGTCATACACAGTTTTAACTTGCTGAAACAAATATTGACTATAGGATATCTCAAAGCTTGTTTAACATTCTTACTCTAGAAGTGTATCTATATCCACGGAAACTGTGTTAACCAACAACTGTGGAAGGCAATTCTGTTGTCCATCTAAAGCACTGTAGCTGAAAATAAATCAGTTTATCAGTTCTAGACATTCTATGCATAAAGGATAAAGATGTGCGAAATGTCAGTGATGTGAGTGACTTTGAATAGTAGGTCTTACAATATGGATGACGAACACATAATAGCTAATCAGCATATTAACTATGAAGCATGGGAGTTTTAGCATATATTGCAGCACCATCTTTTCATACAACATTTTTGAATGAAAAAGATAGTACGTAAATGAATAAACAGTTGTATCTCAGCTAGCGGAGTGCTGGACCAGTGCCCAGAAAATCGTTGAACCGACTCTCATCTCAACCGATATGATTCTTCAGTTTTAACTGACACATCTTCGTATATTAAGAGCAGTTTATCTAAGCAATGATATGTTAAATATAGTTTAATCAAAAATCAGTTAAATATTTGGTGCACTGTTTGCGATTACAAGATATACAGTCAAGTGCATCTATTTCCATGCTAACTAAAATTAATCTGCATCAATATGTTCATCACATTTCGCACAATGAATGTTAGGAATATGCGTATTTAAAATGAATTCAGGTGATATAAACACTAAGCTAATAGCTTATGAGCATTTCATCCAGCTTACTATAAAACAATCATATATCACATGGTTTGGGTTGATCCTTTTATCAAAGTGAGCTAACAACAATAATTTTGACTATGTTTTATCGCAGAAATTCATAAAGCGTGGAACTATCGATCGAAAAAGTGTCTCACTAAAGGTGAGTGTGATGTTAAATATTGTTTTATGATTCATTTTTATTCAAGGTATTACTCAACACTATAAGGAGTAATATATATATATATATATATATATATATATATATATATATATATATATATATAATGGTGCACAGCCTGATGTTCCCTTTTTCATATAGAGGGAATCATGGTTCATATCCCTTCCAGAAGAATCGCCTATGAATTTTCTAGTTTTTTTCTATCTCTTAACTAAATCTTTACTGGTATAAAACTGATTACTGAGCAGTTCCACCCAAATTTCAGTGGAAACCTGAGAATGACACAGTCTTAGGTTGGAGGTCTTCGTGTAATGACATCAGTTGGAGGGACATTGGAAACCTAGTAGCATTGGACAGCTGTTTCGTGCTAGTATGGGACTCTTCAGTAGTGTGCATCCTGACGCGGTCATGGGTGCGCACAGCTGAGGAGTCCCATACTAGTACGAAGTAGCTGTCCAGTGCTTCCAGATTTCCTATGTTTTTCCAACTGATGTCAGTTCATGATGAATTCCAATCTAAAATCAATTCATAAACCTCCAAAAACCTCTAGATAGAATACCACAGTCTGCCACAAGACAAGTGTAAGGAAATCTCATGACTCTTTAAATAATTTTCAAACACGGACTTTTTGTTTCTCACCAAAACGGTTACCATTGTGAGTGCTGATAATAGTCTGCAAATGTATCATCTTACAAATGGATTTCACTGAATCACTAGCTTTATTACCCTACTTGTAATCAATAAGCCATCGGCTCGGAATCTCCTTCATTTTCCAAGTTTTATGCAGCCACGTCATATCATTCTCTTTTATTTGATAAGTATAACCTATTGCCTAGTTCAAAATCCCATATTTCATTGAATTATAAATAGTTCGTATACAGTTGTAAGTTGACAGTTAACGAGTTAAATTTTTTTTCCAGATTTTAAAGTGGTACTCTTTTCTTGACAAATTAAACTGTGCATAACTAAAACGAAAAATATCCTCCTTTGAACTTAATCATCAACTTGACTGAGTTGGTTCAGAATTTTACGTTCATACTCATTCAATATTCCTTTTTTCGAATGACTTTCCTATTATTTTTGACATATTTGTTTTAAGGACACACTGATCAAACTTTAAAATAAGATGTATTTTACTTCACACATTATATAGATATTCTAGTCAAGTTAAAGAATAAATCTCTCCAATTTCTAAATTATTGGTCAACTTTTGGGTTAGAATAAATCAACTTATAAATATTTTAGAGATTCCGTTTTCGGAAACCCTCGTTATGTGAATGAAATGAACAAGACAGCTAATCTTAGCATATATCGCTTTATTCTGAGCTATTTTAGCAGGCCATTATGTATAAGTAACAAGAATTCATATAGGAATAACTTCTGTCGTTTGATTTTTGTCATCAGTACTTCATTTCCACCTTCTTCTCAGAGGTAAAGAATTGTAACGCAGAGTAATGTTGACTAATAAATTCTGTTTATCAACTGAAATCGTTATTATGTTTGCATGTAGTGTATCGGCAAAAAGATTTCTTAAATTTCTGTTGAATATTGCATAAAGTTTGACAAAAGGATTTTCATTTTCGTTGGTAAATAGTTAGAGATTTTAAATGCATAAATATAATACGATTCCTGATATTCAGGTTATTCTATAAGAAATAAGCATCAGGACAACTAGTGTTCTGGTGTTCTAATACACAAACTAAAATGGAATTACAATCGACCACAGTGCCCAAGTTTTACTCTTATCTTAGTGTTCTGAAGGTTCAGAATAAAAAAATTTAAGACCTATGACTATTTGAAGTGAAAATCTGAATAAAGCAAGGATGAAGTTGTGTAAATGCACAGATTAATAAATTAGATAGTGAAGTAATTGGTGACGCTAACAACTATACTAACGAAGCTATGCTTACTATATTATTCTCAGTGAGTATCGAACTGCAACATAAGAGTTGAAAGTTTAATATATAGAACACTCCATTTAAACCTTATTAAGCCAGAGCTTTAGAAAGTTTAGAAAATGTAGCTGGATGAAGAATTTATAGTGTTTTGTTGTTGCTTATATCATAACAATAACTAAATCAGTGGCTATCGTGACTCGTTGGCCTACTGAATAAGGCTCTGGCGTTTGAAACGATCGGTTCCGGGTTCGAGTCTTAATGGGGAAAAAATCATCTACTGAGAGGTAGATATATTCAACTGATGAGTCCCAAGCAGGACGAAACGCGCGTCCTGAATTTCACTGTTAAACACTATTCATCGATAACACAAAATGAAACATAGACAGTACCAAGGTATCTGCCCACGAGCCCATGTCTCAATGGAAACCAATCAATTCGGTCCAGTCAGCAAGCAGCAAGATAGAAAAAGAGTTTAAATACTATAATTGCATTGTTTTGTTTCAGTAAATATGAAGTAAAATGAATTGGTGAAAACAGCTTATATTATGAGAGTCGTTATTGTTCAGTATTTTCACTTCAGGAGTTTATACACACTTAAAATGGTGAATAAGCATTTTAAGCCACCAAAAACAAATTTAGCTATGGTACAGTAAGCGTGAGAAAACTACTGTTATGATGCGGGGTTGTGAGAACGAACGAAAATGCTTAAGGATTGATAGTCGAGGGTTGAGACGATTCAACCTGAGTTATATGCAAAGGGAAATCAAAAGACGAGGTCAGACGAGCTTATAGTATTTCGAACTGAAAACGTTTATTAGTGAAAGCGGACCATTTTTATACAGTTTACAGTAACCTTGAAAGGTAAGGAATAATTAGTACATTTAAAGGGGCAGGAATGAATCAGGGCCCTAGCGGGTCATACGACATATGACCCATGCGCGGGAAAAAGAGCGCAAAGTAAACCAGTTCAAATATAGCAAAACTGTAAGTATGGAATATAAGAGATATAGGCAGCCCTAACAACTACTTTACACAATCCAATCTTTGTATATCAGATACGGCCGATAGCTTAGGACATAAGTCAGTACAGGATGACTGAATTGTGTTGTTATTATTAATGAGCTGAACACTATGCAAGATAATATATATATATATATATATATATATATATATATATATATATATATATATATATATCATTTTTTTGAGGCATGATGTAGCAAACAAGTCACATGTATTCCATATTAGATTCGTTTACTTGATTTATAACACACAGTGATACAGTATTATTTACTCGGCTATTGTAATGGATGCATTAACATACAACCACACAGTACGGTAGGATAAAACCACTATACTTAAGTCCAATATAATTAGGTAGAGATAGATTGATTACTGAGTCTTTATCCATCGAATCGACACCTAAGACATGTAATAGGTATGATGCGACCCCTATGGAAAATTTTACTACTGATAAAAACAAATGATATGAAGTGATAGGACTATAAAAATCAGATGTCAAAAGTAGTGTGATTACATTGGTATGCTTGTGAATAATAACTTATGCTCAAAAAATCATCACGTAAATAATAGTGCATCACTCTGCGCATATATATATATATATATATATATCAAATAAATAAATCTAATATGGGATTACATTCTACCACAGTGCCCATATTTTACACTTAAAGTCACAAGTATTGTGAATAAATATTGTCAGGTTTTGAAATCAATTTACACACGTGATTTTATTTCGTGAGTACGAAATGAGTGCTTATTCAAGCAAAGGAATTTTTTCAGAACAAAAAGATATTTTTGTGATTTGGATTAGTGTGTAAATTCGTCTGAAGCCATCGATCCTTAAACTGCATTTTCTGACTTCGGTTCGCGTTGAAGGTAACATAATTTAGATTGTTAATAACCAACAACAAGTATTGAGTCGATAAAACAATGAAGTACTGAACATCTGTTCCTTTGTAGTGATCCTACGTGAGTTTGTGTAAAAGGTATTTTTGTGGTTATTTACTATTGAGCTACTGGATTGGAATCCGATGTTCTCTATGCTCCTCACCTTCAAGTGTTTTTCTACTCATTTTGACCAACACATAATGTTATTGATACATAGCTATCCTTATTCCTGATTTCGTTAATTCTATAGATCACATTCCGGTGGAATATAAAGACATTCACTTCAATGGTAGTCACTAACAACAATATTTGTAATATCTGCTTTTTTGTATGCATTTACTGACTTCTCAAGAGACACGAGAACTCATAAGTATCACCAATGCTATGGAACGATCTAGCAATATATTACGGCTCGATGATGCATTATAAAACGCTTGTTAGTTTGTAAGTAATCAAGTTATCTTGAAGCCCGAGAACTTTGTTCAGTATGCAATCCGTCTGCACCTTTTGTTGAATCAGACTAGACTTTGTATGGCAACATGTAGATGCATAAAAAATGACTGATTAAGGAATAACTATGTTTCCAAATCTCTGTGACTTATCTCTGTTCAAGAACCTATGAAGTATAAATGAACTCTGTAGTCTACTTGCTGGCTAGCGATGAAATCCCAATTTAATTCCTGTGTATCAAACAATATGCTCTTTAGTCAAATCAAAAGTCGACTGTGTTCCTATGCTACCTCCAACTGTGTTTATCAGCTGATAAGTAGGTGCTGAAGCAAACACTTTGAAAGAACAGAGGGATACCCTTAGTTTTATGAAGACATTCTGATGACCCACGAATAAGGGGAAGTGATACTTTGAGCAGTGCAATCACTCGGCATCTGATTCACACTGGTCATCATCGAGTGAACTTTTTCAATTCCTTCAAGGTAACAAACAAATAAACAATCTCAGTTCTATTGAAGTTTGCCTTTGACCTGGTTTGTCCAAAATGAAGCTAAAGGCAACTCCTGTTTACCTGCGTAACCCATCTTGACTGTTACTTGATTACATCATACTTTATCAACCATAGATATTCACCTCCTCACCCCTATTTGGTTGCATCATCTTTGTTCATATCGCATGTTTTAACTAAGCTTAGCTTACAACATTTTGCTTATTTATCGTATG